GGACACCATATGTGAATTGATTGCCCCCCATCTATCCTCAGAGTTCGTACTGCTTGGTGACCTAAACTGGGATATGCTTAACAACCCGGCCGTCCTACAATCTAAACTAGATGCCCTCAATCTCACACAAATGATCAAGAAACCTACCAGGTACAACCCTAAATCCGTAAACATGGGCACCCTCATAGATATCATCCTGACTAATTTACCCACTAAATACACTGCCGTGTCTTCAACCAGGATCTCAGCGATCACTGCCTCATTGCCTGCGTCCGTAATGGGTCCGTGGTCAAACGATCACCCATCATCACTGTCAAACGCTCCCTAAAACACTTCAGTGAGCAGGCCTTTCTAATTGACCTGGCCCGGGTATCCTGGATGGATATTGACCTCATTCCGTCAGTAGAGGATGCCTGGTTGTTCTTTAAAAGTGCTTTCCTCTCCATCTTAAATAAGCATGCCCCATTCAAAAAATTCCGAACTAAGAACAGATATAGCCCCTGGTTCACCCCAGACTTGACTGCCATTGACCAGCACAAAAATATCCTGTGGCGTACTGCATTAGAATCGAACAGCCCCCGCGATATGCAACTTTTCAGGGAAGTCAAGAACCAATATACACAATCAGTTAGGAAAGCAAAGGCTAGCTTTTTCAAACAGAAATTTGCATCCTGTAGCATTAACTCCAAAAAGTTTTGGGACACTGTAAAGTCCATGGAGAATAAGAGCACCTCCTCCCAGCTGCCCACTGCACTGAGGCTAGGAAACACTGTCACCACCGATAAATCTACGATAATCGAGAATTTCAATAAGCATTTTGCTACGGCTGGCCATGCTTTCCACCTGGCTACCCCTACCCTGGCCACCAGCTCCAACTTGCCCATGCCCCCCTCGCTTCTCCTTCACTCAAATTCAGATAGCTGATGTTCTGAAAGAGCTGCAAAATCTGGACCCCTACAAATCAGCTGGGCTAGACAATCTGGACCCTTTCTTTCTAAAATTAGCAGCCGAAATTGTAGCAACCCCTATTACTAGCCTGTTCAACCTCTCTTTCGTATCATCTGAGATCCCCAGAGATTGGAAAGCTGCCGCGGTCATCCCCCTCTTCAAAGGGGGTGACACTCTCGATCCAAACTGTTACAGACCTATATCCATCCTGCCCTGCCTTTCGAAAGTATTTGAAAGCCAAGTTAACAAACAGATCACCGTCCATTTCGAATCCCACAGTACCTTCTCCGCTATGCAATCTGGTTTCCAAGCTGGTCATGGGTGCACCTCAGCCACGCTAAAGGTCCTAAACAATATTATAACCGCGATCAATAAAAGACAGTACTGTGCAGCCATCTTCATCGACCTGGCCAAGAATTTTGACTCTGTCAATCACCGCATTCTTATTGGCAGACTAAATAGCCTTGGTTTCTCAAATGACTGCCTCGCCTGGTTCACCAACTACTTCTCAGATAGAGTTCAATGTGTCAAATCGGAGGGCCTCTTGTTTGGACCTCTGGCAGTCTCTATGGGGGTGCCACAGGGTTCAATTCTTGGGCCGACTCTATTCTCTGTGTATATCAATGATGTCGCTCTTGCTGCTGGTGACTCTCAGATCCACCTCTACGCAGATGACACCATTTTCTATACATCTGGCCCTTCATTGGACACTGTGTTAACAAACCTCCAAACGAGCTTCAATGCCATACAACACTCCTTCCGTAGCCTCCAACTGCTTTTAAACGCTAGTAAAACTAAATGCATGCTCTTCAATCGAACGCTGCTTGCACCCGCCTGCCCGACTAGAATCACTACTCTCGGCGGGTCTGACTTAGAATATGTGGACAACTACAAATACCTAGGTGTCTGGTTAGACCGTAAACTCTCCTTCCAGACTCACATTAAGCATCTCCAATCCAAAGTTAAATCTATAATCGGCTTCCTATTTCGCAACAAAGTCTCCTTCACTCATGCCTTCAAACATGCCCTCGTAAAACTGACTATCCTACCAATCCTTGACTTCGGCGATGTAATTTACAAAATAGCCTCCAACACTCTACTCAGCAAATTGGATGTAGTCTATCACAGTGCCATCCGTTTTGTCACCAGAGCCCCATATACTACTCACCATTGTGACCTGTACGCTCTCGTTGGCTGGCCTTCACTACATATTCGTCGCCAAACCCACTGGCTCCAGGTCATCTATAAATCACTGCTAGGCAAATCCCCGCCTTATCTTAGCTCATTGGTCACCATAGCAACACCCACCCGTAGTATGCGCTCCAGCAGGTATATCTCACTGGTCATCCCCAAAGCCAACACCTCCTTTGGCTGCCATTCCTTCCAGTTCTCTGCTGCTAATGACTGGAACGAACTGCAGAAATCTCTGAAGCTGGAGACTCTTATCTCCCTCACTAACTTTAAGCATCAGTTGTCAGAGCAGCTTACCGATCACTGCACCTATACACAGCCCATCTGTAATTAGCCCACCCAACTACCTCATCCCCATATTGTTATTTATTTTTCTCATTTGCACCCCAGTATCTCTATTTGCACATCTTCTGCACATCTATCATTCCAGTGTTAATAATACATTGTAATTATTTTGCACTTTGGCCTATTTATTGCCTTACCTCCATAACTTACTACATTTGCACACACTGTACAGTGGGGAAAAAAAGTATTTAGTCAGCCACCAATTGTGCAAGTTCTCCCACTTAAAAAGATGAGAGATGCCTGTAATTTTCATCATAGGTACACGTCAACTATGACAGACAAATTGAGGGAAAAAAATCCAGAAAATCACATTGTAGGATTTTTAATGAATTTATTTGCAAATTATGGTGGAAAATAAGTATTTGGTCACCTACAAACAAGCAAGATTTCTGGCTCTCACAGACCTGTAACTTCTTCTTTAAGAGGCTCCTCTGTCCTCCCCTCGTTTCCTGTATTAATGGCACCTGTTTGAACTTGTTATCAGTATAAAATACACCTGTCCACAACCTCAAACAGTCACACTCCAAACTCCACTATGGCCAAGACCAAAGAGCTGTCAAAGGACACCAGAAACAAAATTGTAGACCTGCACCAGGCTGGGAAGACTGAATCTGCAATAGGTAAGCAGCTTGGTTTGAAGAAATCAACTGTGGGAGCAATTATTAGGAAATGGAAGACATACAACACCACTGATAATCTCCCTCGATCTGGGGCTCCACGCAAGATCTCACCCCGTGGGGTCAAAATGATCACAAGAACGGTGAGCAAAAATCCCAGAACCACACGGGGGGACCTAGTGAATGACCTGCAGAGAGCTGGGACCAAAGTAACAAAGCCTACCATCAGTAACACACTACGCCGCCAGGGACTCAAATCCTGCTGTGTCCCCCTGCTTAAGCCAGTACATGTCCAGGCCCGTCTGAAGTTTTCTAGAGTGCATTTGGATGATCCAGAAGAGGATTGGGAGAATGTCATATGGTCAGATGAAACCAAAATATAACTTTTTGGTAAAAACTCAACTCGTCGTGTTTGGAGTACAAAGAATGCTGAGTTGCATCCAAAGAACACCATACCTACTGTGAAGCATGGGGATGGAAACATCTTGCTTTGGGGCTGTTTTTCTGCAAAGGGACCAGGACGACTGATCCGTGTAAAGGAAAGAATGAATGGGGCCATGTATCGTGAGATTTTGAGTGAAAACCTCCTTCCATCAGCAAGGGCATTGAAGATGAAACGTGGCTGGGTCTTTCAGCATGACAATGATCCCAAACACACCGCCCGGGCAACGAAGGAGTGGCTTCGTAAGAAGCATTTCAAGGTCCTGGAGTGGCCTAGCCAGTCTCCAGATCTCAACCCCATAGAAAATCTTTGGAGAATTTGAAAATCCGTGTTGCCCAGCGACAGCCCCAAAACATCACTGCTCTAGAGGAGATCTGCATGGAGGAATGGGCCAAAATACCAGCAACAGTGTGTGAAAACCTTGTGAAGACTTACAGAAAACGTTTGACCTGTGTCATTGCCAACAAAGGGTATATAACAAAGTATTGAGAAACTTTTTTGTTATTGACCAAATACTTATTTTCCACCATAATTTGCAAATAAATGCATTAAAAATCCTACAATGTGATTTTCTGGAATTTCTTTTCTCATTTTGTCTGTCATAGTTGACGTGTACCTATGATGAAAATTACAGGCCTCTCTCATCTTTTTAAGTGGGAGAACATGCACAATTGGTGGCTGACTAAATACTTTTTTTCCCCACTGTATATAGATTTTCTATTGTGTTATTGACTGTATGTTTTGTTTTATCCCATGTGTAACTCTGTGTTGTTGTTGCCAGGTCGCAGTTGTAAATGAGAACTTGTTCTCAACTGGCTTACCTGGTTCAATAAAGGTGAAATAAAAAATAAAAAGTTATTGAACTCAACCTGCAGGAGGTTTGTTTGTTGTAATTGAGTGGGGGAAACAGTTGTGGCAAGGTTCTGACAGATGGGTGTGTCTTGGTGGTGGCAAGGACACACCAAAGAAACACCCACATGAAACCACACTCCCAAGCCAACTCACTTCAGACTTCTGTCTTGGCCGCCAGCATTTGTTGAGGAGCAAGCCAAAAAACGAGACTAAATCAAAGGGTGCAGTTCCCCTTTAAGCTGTTTGACCACAGAAAAAGGCCAGCAATACTCTGTATTATTCAGAGCCCCATGAAATGACACCATATATACATTATACAGACCCTACTGAGTACTCCCCACCCCATTTTTACATCAGCACAAATAATAGTTTTTTCTCTATAACCCAATATGTAATGCATATACAGTGATTTGCATTGGGGGCATTTATTTGACCTTGGAACATGTTTTAAAACCCACATTTAATGCAAATTTCAGTTAAATATGAACAAATATGAATCAATGTTAATGTTTAGATAATTATTTTTCATACATCATGAATAAATACAGGTTAATTACACTTTTCTACTATTATGTGTGGGACTTTTATTTAGAACGTTGCCAAAATTACGTGACCCGGAAGTACTTTTTTTGTATTGCTGATGAGACGCTGATTCATTTATGTTTGATGTGAATATTTTTGACTTTTTAGCTAACTAAATTCCAACCAAAATGTCCCGGGGCTCAAGTGCAGGTTTCGATCGTCACATCACTATCTTCTCTCCAGAGGGTAGACTCTACCAAGTTGGTTAGTACAGTATATTTTCATTTGCATGCACACAATACACGGCTAGGTAAATGCTCTGTCATTGTTCCTAGCGCTAATACATTGATAACTAGCTAGCTTGCAATAAGGCTATAATACTTTTATTTATTTAACATATTCACATTCTGCACGTTGTTTTATGTTTTCGAAATGTAGTTTGACTGCCCTCAACTACTAGCTAGCTAGATATCCGCACAATAAGCACAATGCTCAGCTAGCTAGGTTAACACCTGACAAGAAACACACTGAACATTACTATCTAGTTAGCTAGCTACCTAATCAACATGAAGTTGTCATTTGTACTAGATAGCTACTGAAAACATGTTGTTTTCTTGTGGTAATAGCAGACGTAAGTGCAGCTAGTTAGTTGCTAGTGAGGAAAGCTAGCTAACTACAGTCAGTATGTTGTTAGCAAGCTAGTAAGTCTCGCGAGGCCATCTTATAAATCTCAACGTGAAGGAAGAATGGGTGTCAGACACAATTATGTGTATAGTCATTGGTCAGACATAGAGAGCCTATTAAATTCGTATTCTAATTCTATGGTGTCAGAGGTGTGCTGTTATCTGAAGTAATTTTGATGTGTGTTGTATGCAGTGATTCAATCATGTTCTGAATAACCCTGTTATGTGTTTTACACAGAATATGCTTTCAAGGCCATAAACCAAGGTGGTCTCACGTCAGTAGCAGTCAGAGGTAAAGACTGCGCAGTAGTTGTCACACAGAAGAAAGTACCGGTAAGTCCAGCTGTAAAACCATGCCTGTTTACCTCATTGTTTTAGGCTTTTCACAAGTGGAGGACTGACTTAGTACAACAATTGGATTTATTAAAAATGACAGTTACCTTGTTTTGTCTCTACTAGGACAAGCTGTTGGATGCCTCCACAGTCACTCACCTGTTCAGGATAACGGAGAACATTGGCTGTGTGATGTCAGGGATGACAGGTACTAGGATTACTTGGTAAACTGCTACGATGGTCAAAGCCAACTCTTACTAACAACAACAACTGAACTTTTACTTGTATCCCAACTCATATAATTAAACTCTTACTAAGAAAAAGTACTCTTCCCGTACCATGTGCATAACATTAAGGCCTACCTTGAAATTGCCAATTCCCAGTGCTGGCTCTAACTGCTTGTCTCTTCTCCTCTCCTCCAGCGGACAGCAAGTCCCAGGTTCAGAGAGCGCGCTACGAGGCAGCCAACTGGAAGTACAAGTACGGTTATGAGATCCCAGTGGACATGCTGTGTAAGAGGATTGCTGACATCTCTCAGGTGTACACACAGAACGCTGAGATGAGGCCGCTGGGATGCTGTAAGTGCATGTTTATTCATGTTCACCATCACTGGATTTATGTGTGTTGAAACTGAAATTTGAAGCACAAGATCTACATACTAGGCAGTCAAAAACATGCAATGGTAATGAGCCATGTTGTACTCCTAATTTTCATTCAGACTTTTATAGAAAGACAATGCCAATGCATCTTTTCCCCAATATTGTTTACAACTCTTAGAGTATCTTCTGCACATACTATACTTTCTCCTTGACCAATATCATGTCTCTCCTTTCCTCTGCTTTTCAGGCATGATAGTGATCGGTGTGGATGATGAGTGTGGTCCCCAGGTGTACAAGTGTGACCCTGCAGGCTACTACTGTGGCTTCAAGGCCACCGCTGCAGGGGTCAAACAGACAGAGGCCACAAGCTTCCTGGAGAAGAAAGTCAAAAAGAAACTTGAATGGACCTTTAAAGAAACTGTTGAGGTAGAAAACCCCTTCCACGCCGCTAACTGTGTACATATACAGTACAGCGTTTAGTGATTTAACAAAACAAAAGTGAAATGAACTACTAGGTGAAATGTTGTACGGTCAGCATTTGTTTCTCCCCTCTGCAAAAACATTGAATGTGATTGCAAGTGGTTTAATTGTATCTCTCTCTCCTTCTGCCTCCCTCTCTTCAGACTGCCATCACCTGTCTGTCAACAGTCCTGTCAATTGATTTCAAGCCCACTGAGCTGGAGATTGGAGTCATCACAACAGAGGATCCTAAGTTCAGGTGAAGCACCACTCTGCCCCATATAAAATACAGTAAGACCTTTGTTGTTGTTTAGGAAGCGTGTAAAAGAGGTACACTTTAGATGTGGAGGTGCTATATTGGTCTGTCCCACTAATGGACCACCAGAATTGTGTTGTCGCAAAGTTTCAAGTTCATAGTGAGGAATGTCGAATTTTAATCTGTATTTTTTTCTAACTGCAGGATTCTGACCGAGTCTGAGGTGGACACCCATCTGGTGTCCCTAGCGGAGAGAGACTGAGCCCAGAAAGAGATGTGTAAGAGAATGATGGGATTTGTAGTCCCCCATTTGAAGAATGGTGTTATCCTTGTTTGCTGTATATTTTACCCCCTGTTCCATTAAAACATTTTCTAGTAAAATATTATATTTTCTGATTCTTTTCTTTTCAGTTTGATCTCTTAATGCCGGGACAGGTTTTCTCTCAGGTACTTGTGACAGACTGCACAGTATTATCTGTGTTTATTATTCGATCATGTTACTATAAAGTTTAAACCCTTTTCTAATTATTTATTTTTTAATCAATGCTCAATGTGGGACCATAGATTTGACTGAATTCTGTGCACAAGGCCTTCGTTATATGACCTAGTACAAACTTGACAATTTTTATACCTGTTAAAGATCTGTTCCAGAGGTTTGTATATGTTTTCGCTAGTAGTTCTGAAAAGTAGCAATCACGAGGCAAAACGGGTTCCAGGAAATGTTGCACAATTGTGTACTACGTCATCCATTTCGTATAATATACAGTATGTTACATCCTACATATAAATACATTTCAAATCGTACAATATGTTATGAATTTGTTAGTGCATTTCTACAATATGTTACAAATTTGTGAGTGCTTAAGATCCCGTTCTCTCTTTAAATTGGGTGACCTGACTGTGAGACAGATTTAGAAGCTGGGAAAGTTTTGAACATTGCTGCAGAGTAGAACATTGACTTCCTGTTGTGGTTCTGCTCATTTAATCACATGACATACTACTGCATAGCTGTGGTAAAAGGTTCTTTACTACAGTCAGTCAAAACTGGTTGTGACCTGTTGAGCTCCTATCATTTCTATGCATTCTCCACTTACAGAAAGTCAAAAATAAATTAGTTTGAAAATGCACCTTAGGTGACAATCACAAGGCAAATTGTCTTGAGAAAAGAGTGCAATATTTATACGTGATGAGAGATATGTGAGTAAAAGTTGTTTACCTACCTGAATGCATAGGGGGTAAAGGTGGAATGGCTTCCAGATAAATGTATTATCAATAAGTCATACTAGATGGGGATATGTGCCTATTGGAAAAGGTCACATATCGAATGTTGTTTAGATTATAGAGGCAAAAGACTAATCCGAAGTCTCAGGATTAGTGTTTTGTTGACTCATGTTAGTTCTATGTCCAGAGGGTATGAACAGATCACATGCAGAGGGACTGTTGTGTCCTTGGGTGAGGCTGTCAGATTCCTTAGGAAATCCCCTGAGAATCGAGATGGCTATAGGCCAACTGATGTTTATGACCCACAGTAATTACAACAGTAGTCCAAAGATCATGTATTTTTCTACCACTGACTGACTATAATAGTGTTTATCAGATGTGGCGTGTACTACTGGGAGCAAGGGTTGCTGAAGGAGAGCTGCGGATTTTAGAAAATCTGTCGCCAATTCGATGGAAACCTAGTTAGTGACAACTTGGGGTATATCAAGCCAGCTGAAATTAAGTATTGTCCTGTTATATACTTTTAGCTTGCAGGGTTTCCCAGTCATGACTGATACTGGTAATGCAAATAATAGGCATGAGTGGTCCAGTCCGGAAAATGTTAATCATTCCCAGATTGGTGAACAGTAGGTTTTCTACAGAATGAGTCGGCACTTCCCAGGCCAACCCAGACACTGATTCAGTGGTACTTCTAAGGTGGAATGTTTCGTACAGAACAGTAGTTCCTCTTACACATCCAATCCGGGAGGGACTTTTAACAATGTGACTCACAGACCCAGTAACCCCCACCCCAACCAAGAAACCCCAGACTGTGGTCCTCTGTAGCTCAGTTGGTAGAGCATGGTGTTTGCGACGCCAGGATAGTGGGTTCGATTCCCAGTACTACCCATACGTAAAATGTATGCACGCATGACTGTAAATCGCTTTGATTAACATAATCTGCTAAATGACATTTATTATTATATATTAATATAAGTCCTGTGTATGCGTGTGTCGAGTGGGGGAAGGGGAGTTCACTTGTCTTGCAAGTCTGTGAAAAATGTACATGAGCCTTGTATGGGTAAGTAGTGTTGGCTAAGTGAGGCAGTTTATTGAGATGGTTTGATACTGTATATTACTGTGTAAAAATGGCCATGGAGAATTACTAGAGTGTGACAGGAAATTCAGTACAGTACTGTACTGTAAGTGAGGTAGTTTAATGAAATAATCATAAAGTCACAGGAAATGAACCAAAACCACAGTGCGTAAGAGTAGGAAATAGAGCAGTCAAAATCCATTTATATTTATAGATGCATATTTTATTGATTCTTTTCAATAGTGTTTCACTCACATTTAATAAAAACATTCCAAGTATAAAAATATATCTGTGTATTTACAATATATTACTGATATATACATGAAAATATAATAATTCTCTCAGAGGTCAGGGGTCATATTATGTGTTCCGGTGCGTTTGATCTTCACGGAACACCAGACTTCTATCCCGACCGAACGCCATCTTCAGTCTTGTCTCTCTGTCGCCTTGTCTGTCGGCCAGCTCTAGGTGGCTCTCCCGAAGGCTTCTGGGACCTGGAGTTCCCACTGCGCTTTGACTGAACTGGACTGGCCAGTAGCAGCTTCATCGACTTGATTCACATCACCATGTGATGCGACCACTTCAATTCTGCCCGAATGTAATGTCATCGTACATCTGTGGAGAAAAAAAGAAACAACATTAGGAATCTGTAAACTCAACTGTAATTTAAATAGAAAACAATATTTATTTGGTACTATAGTCAATCCATTTGTCCAGATAGAGCCTTTGCCCCCTCTCTCTAGTACTGCAGTTTTTAATTCATTTAACCTTTATTTATACAGAGATCAAATCTCTTTTACAAGAGAAACCAGTGTAGCTGTTGTTACCATCTCACCTGTTCATCATCAGACAGGCACTCCTCCTCGCTCTCTTCTGATTCGCTCTCAGGCAGCTCTCTAAGCTCCTGGGTCGTCTTCTCATACAGCTGGTGGCGGATCTCAGCGTTCTGACGCCCATAGGTCAGGTGGTACGGCGTGTAGCCCCCGTATGTCACACTGTTGACATCTGCCCCCAGGGAGAGGAGCCGGTGGACCAGGGATAGGTTCTGGAGGTCTACGGCCAGGTGGAGCGCTGTACGACCGCTACATTGTTCCTGAGGGGAAACAAAAATACACCAAACATTAGTTCCTTTGGTCTGAGAATACATTTAGGTTTTCAATAATCAATGGGGATACTTGATTCTTGGCAACAGAATACCTGTGTGATGAACATACCTGTGCATTGATATCGGCACCAAGCTGAACCAGGTTCTCCACCATGGAGAGGTATCCATTAATGGAGGCGAGGTGGAGGCAGTTGTGTCCGCTGTAGTTGGGGAAGGTGAGGATGGAGCTGAGGTGGCGGAGGCAGTTCTGGGTGATCACACTGAAGGAAGTGAGAGAGCCCTTCTTACAGGCGATGTGGAGGGCGGTGTTCCCACTGTCGTCTGCTATCCGCGGGTCACACCCGGCCTTCAGTAGCCTCTCTACCAGATGGGGCTGTTCTGTGATCACTGCCAGGTGGAGCGCAGTCTGAGAGAAGATTTAGGTTGTTAGCTATTGTTTTCAGGTGTAAATACCACCATTTAGATGGCTTGTTTATAACTGTTAATAACTATGTATGTGTAGTGATGACAACTTGTTTCAATAAGACAGTTGTTTATCAACCAATTAATTGTGTTTTAATTAACAAATTAAGTATGTTTTTTTTTATTGACCTATATATTTGTTCAATTAATCAATTATCTATTTTCCTATTGGTCATCAATAATTACCTGTCTCTGATTGTTCTGTGCATCCAGTAATATATGATCATTGTGTGACAGTTTGATCATCTGCTCTGCTTGTTCTGTGGCTTCATGAATAATGGCCAGGTGGAGAAACCTGTGTGGAGGAGAGGAAAATAAAGAGTTTTAAAAAAAAGGCTGCGCTTCAAATGTGCATGGCGCAGAGGAAGTGGTTAAACAAAGCGCGAGCACTAGAGCCTTGCGCAAGAAAATATTTTTTTCGGGTTATTTCCACCAGTTGCGGCTTGACACATCTGATGCATTATCATTCCTGGCATCTCGTCAGGGACTTTCCTAACTGCGCAGTGCTGACTTTAGCACCGCCTAGGCGCAGCTCTGAGGCAAAGTACATACTCAGAATACGACCGAGTCCAAAAGGCCTTTTGTTTACTTGCAAATTCTGACTATAGCTGCTTAATTTGACATTATCTTAATAACATGAGCATATCTGTGCGTTTTGTATTCTTTATGAACGCATAGGATTTTGCATAAAGTGCTGTATTCTCAAAACATTGCTTTGGATTATAATTAGGATATTTAAATTTGCCTTTTTGCGCTTGCAGTAGGTCTATAGGCCTAGGTCCCGTTTAAATGCAACATTACCAAAGATAAAAGTGAACTTACGTGTCTCCATCCTCGGTCACTGTTTTCCTCCAGGGTTCATTACTGCAGGGGTTTGCCTTGATTTCGACATTGGCCACTCTCAAGTCCTCCAGCTCATTCACAAGGTTAACATATTCATACTCTTTTAGAGAATCCATACCGCTATCAAAACGGTCTTCTTGGCAAGGTACAATTTTCCCATGTTTCGATTCCATATCATCAGAGTTATAATCCATTTGGTTGTGTTTTGAAACTCTAACATCCATAGTGAATAGACTGACTGACAAGTCGACTCACTTCTCTGTTCTCTTTCAAGTTTGGAATGGAGTGTGTGTCAGAGGGAGGCGAGAGTGGGTTTAATGCTCTACGGGGAGGAGACAAAGAACGGGGGATTTCCACGTTGAGTTATCTCGACACAGCTAGTAGGGAAACTCATAGACTGGGCTTTTATGAGAAAAATTCCCCCTCGAATGAGCCCCACAGACTCAGAGTAAGAATGAAAACTTGTAGTTTCCTATTAGACATCAAAATATACCTGTGATGCAGACAGAAATACCTTCAATGAATGAGATAGATGAATCAGGGACAGACAGGGGTGCCTTTGACAGTTTCTGGAAGAATTCCCTTTTCATAACTAGGTAATTGAGGGAAATTGCATAATTGTTTTGCACATTTTGCACATTTTTACTGTAATCACTAGAGACTATAGTATTTTGATAACTATGCATGCAGGTGTTCCATGGAATGTTAATTGAAGGTCAACCTCAGTGTGTGAAATATCTCATTAGTTTACCCTATTAATTATTGGACTATTACAGTTCTGCACCTTACCTGATCTCATATGCTATCATACATGGATAAAATGCATCTCTGCAAGCATAAACAGATAGTACATTGCAAATATATTCTCCATATATGGCCAGGTTTTATTCAGGTTGGGATACCATGTTGGAGGGATGTTTGCAGCCTTCATGAAGGAGTACAGAACAAAAGTCCAGTGTGGGGGAAACTAAACCAAAATATTCCCTGTGGTTGCATGGTTCACAGGTCTTTGGTGAGTCAAACAGAGTTGAGAGACAGGTGATTCCACAGGGACTCTCTGACTGTAGAATAAAACCAGGGGGCATGGTGTACATAACCCCACCATGAAACTGACACTGCTGCATGTTCCTTCATGGGATATAGCCTACTGGACTTACCCTTGATGTGCTGCACATACCTAATGTAATATTACATGACATGCCCTTGGAAATCAAAAGGGTTTCCATAAAACGACACTATTGAGAGATGTTGTGAAGATGTAGGTTATGCAATCATCTTTGGTATTTACATCTTGCTTGATGTCTGACCCAGTCTAAGGGTGTGAATGTGTGAGGGGGATATCACCACAGAGGGAAACTCCTCGCCTTGCATAACGTCCTTGCTGGCTTTACCTTGCGTGACAGCATTTATAGACTCTATACTGTCTACCTGGGATAGCCTCACCGTGACATATGAACTGAAAACTCCCTGTTTGCACAGGGACAGATGATTTTAACAACATAGCAACCGTAACCACGAGCAGTAAGCGTTCATCTGTGGGGCGATACTGGGCGAGATAACACTGTGCACACACACGCACCCTGCTGTATGATGTAAAGTGAGTGTGTGCGTCACACTGCCAAGAGTCATGACAACAAGCTGGCACACTCCTCTATCTGTGTAACAGAACATCTCTCTGACAAGTAAAGTTCCACAATACTGAAACTAGGCTAAGGACATAATATGCTTTTTCTGGAGGGGATTTGAGTCATATGTCATAATGTTATCATATCTTTTGATTAGATTTTTTCAAGGACAATTCCCTAAAAAATAAATATAGGAAGTTCCTGTTAATTTCTCATAGTAAAATGTTGTAACATCCTTCCTTTGACCACTTTGTTATGTTACTATGGTTTCCATGCGCACAATTTCTATCACCTTAGACACCTTCATCTGTCTCTACATTGCCCTCTATCGGTTTGCAGTCGTAACAGCTACTTCATTGCTTGACTATTACACAAGCATAATCATTGGTCAAGGCACAACATTCACTTGTTTGCAAAGATAGTGCCCTTATGATGTTTCCACTGAGCAAACTTCAACTATCTATTTATGGGACATCATTTGTGGGATCACATCTTATATTCAACTGATTTGGTAGTTTCAGTAGTCATTCATTGTTACATCAGTCACATTAGTTTTTCCAGTCAGTTTTGTGTTACTGCCCCATTTTGCTGTTCAGTCTTATTAAAAAGCCCTAGAGTTGATGTCTCCCGAGTGGCGCAGTGGTCTAAGGCACTGCATCGCAGTGCTAGCTGTGCCACTAGAGATCCTGGTTCGAATCTAGGCTCTGTCGTAACCGGCCGCGACCGGGAGACCCATGGGGTGTAGCTCAGTTGGTAGAGCATGGCGTTTGCAATGCCAGGGTTGTGGGTTTGATTCCCCAAGGGGGGCCAGTATGAAAAAAAAAAAAATGTATAAAAAAAAATGTATGCACTCACTAACTGTAAGTTGCTCTGGATAAGAGCGTCTGCTAAATGACAAAAATATAAATGTCTGCGCCCCCACGGAAATGTAATTAGCATAATAAACAATCCCCATAAAAATCTAAAAGCAAGTTCCCCTTTAAAGGAACAATTAGATATTCCAGTCTAAAAATAGAATCACACAATTGCACAGCATGTATAACTTGCCCCACTGTTCCATATACTGTATGGCAGGGGTCAGGGGTCAGGTGTGAGTGGACACAGTTATAATACAATGCACATTGATTTAGTTGATAATAATGCCTTCTACTTTCTAGCTTAATCTGTGGACCTCCTGACACAGCACCCACCCACAGTTCTTACTGACTTCCCCCACTTTCTGTTTAATGAGTCAATGTCAAAATGAGAGGGCACTTTAATATGGCAATCACTGTCTGAGTAGTATTAAATAGTCAACCTTTCTGCTCCTGAATTGACGTCAGAAGTGACACATCCAAGTCATACTATGGCCAACATGTCTAAGGGACTTCACCCTTCCCCTACCCACATAAATATATTTATAACGTACGTTGGACTGATGTAATTTGACATAATAGTGGATGTCTGATGAGTTATTCTCAGACACAGATTACAACAGGGTTTCAGTTAGAGTGAGGTGTGGGTGAGGACATATTAAGATACACTATATATACAAAAGTATGTGGACACCCCTTCTAATTAGTGAATTCGGCTATTTCAGCCACACCCGTTGCTGACAGGTGTATAAAATTGAGCACACAGCCATGCAATCTCCATAGACAAAACATTGGCAGTAGAATGGCCTTACTGAAGAGCTCATGCATGGCTGTGTGACTTTCAACGTGGCACTGTCAGAGGATGCCACCTTTCCAACAAGTCAGTTTGTCAAATTTCTGCCCTGCTAGAGCTGCCCCGGTAAGTGCTGTTATTGTAAAGTGGAAACGTCTAGGAGCAACAACGGCTCAGCTGCAAAGTGGTGGGCCACACAAGCGAGTGTTGAAGCGCGTAGCACGTAGAAATGGTCTGTCCTCGGTTGCAACACTCACTACCGAGTTCCAAACTGAGTCTGGAAGCAACATCAGCACAATAACTGTTCATCTGGAGCTTCATGGAATCAGCAGCCGCACAGAAGCCTACGATCACCATGCGCAATGCCAAGCGTCGGCTAGAGTGGTGTAAAGCTCACCGCCATTGGACTCTGGAGCAGTGGAAACGTGTTCTCTGGAGTGATGAATCACGCTTCACCATCTGGCAGTCCGATGGATGAATCTGGGTTTGGCGGATGACAGGCGAACGCTACCAGCCCGAATGCATAGTGCCAACTGTAAGGTTTGGTGGAGGAGGAATAATGGTCTGGTGCTGTTTTTCATGGTTCGGGCTAGGCCCCTTAGTTCCAGTGAAGGGAAATCTTAACGCTGCAGCATACAATGACATTTTAGATGATTCTGTGATTACAACTTTGTGGCAACAGTTTGGGGAAGGCCCTTTCCTGTTTCAGCATGACAATGCCCCTGGGCACAAAGCGAGGTCCATACAGAAATGGTTTGTCGAGATCGGTGTGGACGAACTTGACTGGCCTGCACAGAGCCCTGACCTCAACCCCATCGAACACCTTTGGGATGAATTGGAATGCAGACTGCAAGCCAGGCCTATTCGCCCAACATCAGTGCCCGACCTCATTAATGCTCTTGTGGCTGAATGGAAGCAAGTCACCGCAGCAATGTTCCAACAGTGGAAAACCTTCCCAGGAGAGTGGAGGCTGTTATAGCAGCAAAGGGGGGACCAACTCCATATTAATGCCCATGATTTTGGAATGAGATGTTCAACAGCAGGTGTCCACATACCTTTGGTAATCTAGTGTATGTTTCTAATAGGAAAGGTTTGAGGCAAGTTTTAGCTGAACCCATCCTTACTACAACAAGAATAATCAAGGCATGTTGGGAAAGAAAATACATTCCTCAAAACAAGCAAAGATTTAGTTACTTCTTACCTAGAAAAAGGTATACTTCCTAAATGAACAGATTGTTCATGCGGCAACACAATGATCCAAAACACACAATCAAGTCTACATGAAAATGGCTAAAAAGCAACACATTTGAAGTTTTGGAATGGCCTAGTCAAAGTCCAGACCTAATCCCAATTGAGATGTTGTGGCAGGACTTGAAACGAGCAGTTCATGCTTGAAAACACACAAATGTTGCTGAGTTAAAGCAGTTCTGCATGGAAGAGTGGGCCAAAATTCCTCAACAGCGAAGTGAGAGACTGATCAACAGTTACAGGAAGTGTTTGGTTGGAGTCGTTGCAGCTAAACGTGGCACAACCAGTTATTGAGTGTAAGGGGGAAATTACTTTTTCACACAGGGGCATTGGGTGTTGCATAACTTTGTTTATGAAATAAATGAAATAAGTATGTAATTGTTGTGTTATTTGTTCACTCTGGATCCCGGTATCTAATGTTAGGTTTTGGTTGAAGATCTGATAACATTCAGTATCGAAAATATGCAAAAGTGGAGAAAATTAGAAAGGGGACAAATACTTTTTCACAGCAATGTAGATTTACCGAAACTAAAACAAAATCAGTCCTCAGATCATGCCTCTCCTCTCGTCATTCTCAGGGTTTCATGCTGAGTGTGTGGTACTCCTGTGTGGTGCACATTTTCGGGGAAACGTGGGTGAATTTCAGAGTAGGGGTAATACCTTTTACACTCAAGCGTTCCCATGGTCAGATAATGACAGACCTGAGATCTGGGTGTCATGAGGGCCTTCCTCTCCCTGCCTGATCCACTGCTCCAATGAT